AGACATGTGACACTAGCTTGTACTTAGGAGCAGGGAGCGTGAAGTCAGACTCTGACTGTGGTGTGACTTTCCACAGCTAGAAGTGGAACAAGGAAGGACAGATGGTGGCAGACTCAGGGACCTGGCCCACTGACACAGGCCTGCTGCCCCAAACCAGCTCTGCCCTCTTCCTCCCCGCCTGCTCACGTGGTCATGGGGCTGATTGAGGCCTGATTCAGCCACAGCAGCCTAAGGGCACCAGGGAGGCCTGGCTGCAGCAGGGGTGTTGAGGTCTGTCTTCTCCCACCCTCATCTCAGCATCAGGAAAATCTGTTCCCTGTAGACTGGAGGGACTAGGGGCTGGAGACGGGGGCAGAGCCATGAAAACAGCTCCTTCCTTAAAAGAAAGGGTGGACAAATCACTCCATCAGTACTCTTTGTATCTAGGGAGACAGAGAGATGGAAAGAGAGACCAGGGTAAGGACTGAGAGAAGAATGAAAAATACAGAGAAACACAGAAGTACAGAGAGTCTAGACAGAAAGGTGCCAAGACAGAAATAGATACAGACACTGGGAGACAGAGAAACACACACCTGGAGGGTGTCTGGATGGAAGGTGCTGGGAGACGGGGTGGGGCTGAGTCAGAACTGATGTGGGGGGATGGTCGTGCAGGAAGCCGAGCCCCTGAGGCCCTGAGGGTTTGGGGTCCTTGGGGAGTCTGGGACAGACGGGCCTAGAGCCAGGGGTTCCCCACCTACCAGTATTGCCTATCCAAGGATGGGGCTGGGGCTGAAGTAGGTGTGCGGAAGTGTATCCAGTCCCCTCCGCAGGCTGCTGGCCTGGGGTCCCTGGAGCTGGGGACAGGTGCCTGCCTTTCCGTGTCCTCCTCCTGAACTGTGCCAGCTGGCCCAGTCCCCCCACCCCAGGCCAGTGTCAGGTTCCAGGCTGTTCCCCGGGGGAACTTTGATCTGGAAAGAATGAGAGTGACCGAGCTGGCGGCTGCCCAGGGCTGAGCCATGCCACTAAGACCTGGCCTGGGCTGCCCCTGCCACCTTCCCGCCTGTGGGGGCACCAGGCAGTCACTCCAGGGCTCAGGAGACACAGGTGGGGTCTTTTCTGCTTTCCTGCCCCCCTGTTCTCTTCACTTCCATTCACTGTTCAGTCACTAGTTCCTACACTGCTTCATTAGGTGCCCCTCCCTTCACTCACTCATTCAAATGGCTGATGGAGCTGGGGGCTGGGCCAGGGGTCAGAGGGATGAGAGAGGCAGGGCCTTGCCCTCTCAGGAGCCCCAGAGATCACTACTCAAGACAGACAGCAGCTCCACACTGGAGGAGGGAGCCAGGGCAGGAGAGGAGGGATATATTTCAATGGGCATGGTGGGCGGGGAGGGGAGGGGAGGGAGGAGTGCTCACAGGCCTCATCAGGGATGGCTTCCTGGAGAAGGTGGCATTTAAACTGGGCTCTGAAGACCTAAAGAAGGGAGTCTGTCAGACAGCATGGCAAGTGGAAGGGATGCTTCAGGCAGTGGGACCAGGGCAGCCACAAAGGCAGAAGTGTGGGAGTTCGTGCATTTTGCTGCAAGGGCCTTGAAATGCACCCTAAGGCATTCAACCCACTGTTGGTGGAGGGGAGTCATGGGTCAGAGGGATAGTTTTGTTAGAGAAAGGAGACTCGGGGGCTTGCAGGGGAGGTAGCAGGCTGGTGGCCCGGGTGCTGGTCTCCTCCAGGCCTCCCCAAGGAGCTGCTAGCGCCCGCAGAGACCTCCCGAACCGCTCCAGCCCCAAGGGGGTCTCCAGAATGATTCTGAGGAAGCCAGGCTTGTGTGTGGGCTGTAAAAGGCTTTGCAGGGCCCTGGCCCAGGCCGGAGCCCAGCCCCCTGCCTCTGCCGAGACTCCCTACCCCCACTGTTCACTTGGAGTGACACGGCCTTTTGCTGCGCTGAATGCAGACACTGCCCGGCCTGCAGGGCCCCTGGGGAAGGCCCGGGGAGCCACAGCCCTGGAGCTCTGCCTCCCCCAGTCCCTATAAATAGCCCAGGGAGGGGGAGGGGAGGCGGGCCAGGCAGGGCTGGAGGGGGCAGGCCTTGGGTGGGAAGTTGTGGAGCAGCGGGGGAGAAGGGAGGATG